CCCCTGCTCATCCTGCAGGCCGTCACCCGAACGCTGCATGGGCTGCGGAACAGGACACTCGAGGTAATCATCCTCGGATCTCACTGAGTATCGGATGGTCCTGACCTTCTGCCCACAGATGGCACAGCTTGGCTTCTTGTTGGCCCACCACATTGCGCAGCCATAGCAGAGCTGGTGGAGGCAGGGGGTGACGTAGGCCACGTTGTCCTGAGCCCACCCGCAGATGGGGCAGATCCAGTTGGGCTCCATGGTCCCGGGCTGCGCGTGGGCTGGGGAGAGCTCAGATGGGGAAGCTGCTCCCTCTGTGGCGCGGCAGTGGGCAGGTGTCTCAAGCTGCAAAAGACAGAGGGACCGTGATCACGCGCTGTCCCCGGGGAAGACAGCAGCTATGCCTCGATCCCTCAGCAGGAAACTGCCTGACCCCTGCTCCCCACAGGCTGCCCCGCGGCCGTGTCCCCTCACCACTCACCTCCACTGCTGCACATGCACCCCACGAGGCCCCGGCTGCCTGAGCCAGGCAGGGCCAGGGAAACACTGGTGAGAGGCACCAAGAACTGATGCCAACAGCACCACAACACGACACGAGAAAGTCCTCGATCGGTACTCCTAGTCTTGCAGGTCTGCTCGACTGGAGGCCAGGCACGAGTCCAGGCTGGACGCTGCTGACACCTGAATTCATACACGAGGGTCAGTGAGATCACAGTCATCTCTTGCTGATGTCAGTCACAACCCCTTGGGTGGTGACCTCCCCGCCCATGGCTGTGTGTATTTGGGCACCAGCCTGTGCCTCCATCACCCTGCATCCTTCCATGTTTTTCCTTTGCAATGGCGATACATTTGGGAAAATAAAAGTTGCGCGTTTACTGTCTCCACAGATATCAATCTTCTGTGGTCTCTTTATTCTTTCTGAGACTAGAGGGATGCTTTTTTGCCTGTTCTGATTTTGATGCAATGCGAATTGATGGCCGACTCTATGTCGGGCTTGGTTTTTATACCAAGATTCAATGGTCTCTGATTTTGTCTGGAACCTGAGTGCAAACCTTGGTGGTGCAGCACTGTAGGCAGCTTCCCCAGGAAGTAGTCATGTGCCACTCTGACCTCCCCTCATCCAGTATGAAACATTTGTAATATGTTTGTTAGGCTTTATTATAGGAAAGCAGAGGCAACTGAACTCCTGTGTATGTAGTGCACTTCCATCGGGTCTCTTCATGATTTATATCTTTCTTCATATTCCCATTTAAGTCCTAACCCACACTCTGTAAGTACTGCAGAGGAAGCCTGTGTCTTCCCAGTGAAGGAATCTTACTTACTAATTCCATGTATTGAGTTGTTGCAGATGTTATCACTAACAATATTCATGTTACTTTTCCTCTGAGGAGGAATTTTTTCACGTAGAGGGTGGAAAAGCACTGAAACAAGTTGCCCAAGGAGGTTGTGGATGCCCCATCGCTGGAGGCATTCAAGGCCAAGGGTGGATGTGGCTCTGGGCAGACTTGTCTGGTGGTTGGCAAGCTGCACATTGCAGGGGGGTTGAAACTAGATGATCATTGTGGTCCTTTTCAACCCAGGCCATTCTATGGTTCTGTGATTCTTTGTAAGTCAGATGACAATAATGGTAACTGCTTTAACTCTAAGACATTTAAATGTTTGGTATGTGCATATTAAATTTTTTCAATTATAAAATGGTCATTTTTATTTTAAATTTTTCCCTGAAATATTGAAACTGTAAGTAGGAAGCTGTCATAAATGGCAGTGTGCTCTTTACCTAGTGTTCCCAGTCTTGGATGTTCACGTTTCTTAGCAGGGCATGTATTGTCTGTCATGTTAAATGGATTCTTCTGAATAGAAATCTGTGGTTTAATGGAAAAGGATGATTCCAACTTCTTGTTATTACAGTTTTTATTTATTGATAATATTTATGTTTCATTTTGTGTTGAATTGCACTTTCAGTTTTTTTCTGTTTGCATATGTACTGTGTGGTGATACCAAACCTGCTTTTAAAAATACAGGAGAATGAGCTTGATCTCCTAGACAACTGCACTTCAAAGGCAGGATGTCTTTATGCCAAGCTGTCCAATTTAAAACTCCTTCCCAATGTCCCCTTGAGAGACTTGTTGTAAGCACTAACCTCTTACATGACTGATGATTTAATGAGAGAGCTGGAGGTTAGGGTGTGGGAACAAGACAGAGGTAGGAAAATGATCTCCTCCTTTGCTATCAATATTTAAAGATTAAAGTGTGTTTGTATTGCTTATACAGTAACTTATCAGGACAGAGCACTTGCTGCTGAGGCTGTAATACTGCTATGAGCTACCAACCACAGTAACTCACGCAACCATTGCTCTCCAGTCAGTTTTGTACTGCAAATATACTCAGTGACTGGTGTCACTTGTATTTTATTTGCATGACAGTCTAGTCATAGAAAGTTGTTCTGCTGCCTTTGCTCCTGTTTTGATTCCCTAATTGTATTATCTTGACTTTGAGGGCTTAAATGAGCAATAGCTTACTAAAAGATTATGAAGATAAGGTGTTAGATGAGGTTCTTCCACTACACAGAAAACACATGCTAGGCACCAAAGAAATTGAGTTTCTTAAGTGAGTGGATAAACTAGCTTCTGAAACATGCCTTTTAACTTCTAGTTTTACAGGTTTTGTATAGCCTCTAATCTCCACAGTATTTCAATAATGTAATGTTATAGATAAATTGTAATGTCCGTAGTAAGCTTATGTGAAAAACTTTCTGTTAAAATTCTTGTGTTTCTCTTGTAAAGCTAATGTTAAAAACTAGTTTAGCAAAAGTGGTTTGCAGTTTGTCTGATGCCTCAATTCAGATTTCTTTTTCTTACAATCAGTCTGAACGGTTTCTATTACCTTCCAGTCTCAAATGAATAAATCAGCATCTGACACAGCCTTGTAGATCCTCAGCCCTGTTTGCCCAAGGCAATGGAAATGAAATCAAAAGCTACCTCTATGAGTAGAGGGTTGTAACTTGACATAGCAGAATAATGTTGTATTCTGTTGAATAAAATAAAATACACCAGGAATAAATTGGACTATTTCTACTTTTATTGGTTGTGAATTTGGATCTTTTGAGCTTATGGAGGGGTTGAATCTATCCAGTCCATTAGGAAGTGGTTTTTAAAGATGCCTTTCATAATGATCTGAAGGGATTTTTGTCCCTTTCAGTTTTATAGCCCAAAGTTTATACTCTTAATTGAAATTTAATATATTACCTCTGTCTGTGATAACTCATTATAGTTTCTATACCCTAGCTTTTCACATTCCAGAGGATAAAAGAAACAATAGAATGAAAAAAACCAACAACTTCAATGTCCTTCATCTAAGGCTAAACATTGTACACCAAGAACATTTTAGAAAATGCTAATGGCTTTAAAAATGCATTGTGTTCATAATACAGTTTTTATTCATTTACATTTAAAATAACTAGTGACAGTTGTATCTGACCAGTGTATATTTCTGGATGCCTAATTTGCCCTTGATTATCACAAATACTGAAAAAATGATTATGTTGTCACCTAGTTAAATAGATGAAGGCAAAAGGACTGTTCAGTGATCTTACCCCAGGGAATAAATCTACCCAAGTTACTGAAACTTTGAAGAAAAGCAAAAATTTTGAGAGCTTGCTGTACATTTGACAGGTAAAGTTGCTGTAATGAAAACGGCAGAGCCTCAGCTGAACAGGAGAATTAGCAATTTAAAAGGCTGTAGCCTTGTGTTGTGCATCAGATCAGTCACTTAGCTTTAGCTCTGTAGCGTGGTAGGGCACTGGAGGGATCCTGCGTAACACTGCTGCTGTGTGCACTAGTGGAGAATTGTCTGAATCCTGTTACACACAACCCTGAGGTATTGGAGACTTGGCTGTATATATCTGAGTGATAGTGTCATAGGCAGGAACAGAAAGGCCCAGCAAAAACTCTCCTGGCAAACTTCCAACCTAGGGATAACAAAGAGGGAAATGCTTACAGTGAGGCTGTGGTTGCATTCAGTCCCTTGAAGGACTGCCATTTACAAGATTTTGCAGGCTCATTAGCCACTTTGTATAATCTATTCCTATGAGAGTTTGTATGGAACAATTAAAATGGTGCTGGGTGGTTTTTTTTTGTTTTTTTGTTTTTTTGTTTTTTTTTTTTTAACATAACTATTATCAGTATATCACTTGAAGTAGTGGAAGGACTGAAGAAAGTGACAAATATAAATAGGACCTATAAAGAATGATCAGACTAATAATGTGTATGAAAACTTTCCCAAGTTTGTGTCAACTCCAGGCCAGCTTACACATCATAAAAATAAGTCATGAAAGTTGTTCCCTCCAGACTAGGTAGCATATATGTTGTATTTACTGTTCTTTCTTTACAAGCCAGATTTCAGTTGCTAAGAATTCTGTAATGAGAACACGTTCTATGGTTACAACACAGTGATTTTAAAAGGCTTGTCCTTTTTCTATAGCTGCTTGAGAGAAAAGAAAAGCTTGTAGTTAATACCTGAAGCATGCTTATTTGGCTTCTGTGTAGACAACATGTATTTTTTTTATTCATAAACTGGAAAGAAATCTCTGAATATAATTTGATTTTGAGTTCAGAAATATTTCAGAAGTGTCCACAGTAATGTAGATTCATTGACACTTAAAACAAACAAACAAACAAACAAACAAACAAATAAATATCCTGTATTTTATTTTTTATATTTTATTGTTACTTTTCCTGTATTTGAAAACATGAAGAATATAATAGAACTATGGAAAAAGTACTGCAGGACAGATGTGTAAGTAATGGCAGCAGTGTGGTTTGTAAATGTTGTGTTTTCCCACTCCTGAGTCTCTGCTGGAAAGGGTGAAGCATCATAATGCCATAAATGGAAACTATGAGGCATACAAATAAAGCATTTCTGAATTAGTTCCGGTGTTTCTGGGACAAGAGCTATATGTGGGCACTTTTTGCTCATGGAGTGCCAGCCAGCAAAGAGCATCATCTCGTGTAAACCAGCAGCTAGCACAATGCCCAGCTCAGGAGCACTCTGAGCTAATTCAGAGTTGTTCAGCAAGCCCTAAGTTGCAAGAGGGGAAATAAGGTATTCAGCTTCCTGTTACAATACAGCTGTGATCTATAGTGTCTTTCAGTACTCTAAGTTATTATCAACTCTAAAATCACACATGAATGGAATGACATGGGCAGGGAGCAGTGGACAGCAGTTACTTTTAAGTGGAGAGGCATAGATGAGAAGCAGTGAAGTCTGCCACGTGTGCCTCACCATTTTCCTCCATGCGTCTCGCAGTGAGGTCTCGGAGAAAACTCCTGGGGTCTCTCCTCCCGCTGAGCTTCACTTTCTTCCTAACAGGATCTGCCAAGGTGACAATAAATTCTGCATGTGATAGGGTGTAATATGAGCAAATGGGAATGGCCTTTTGAAATTCATTTCACAGATAAATGAGAAGGCTCCATATTCTGTTACTGATCAAGTCTTTCAGAGATTAAACATGTCGATTAACACATTTTAATTAGTATTTAGGGGCTAATGTTGCCAAATCCAATTACAGGTTTGCATACAGTTATGGAGGTTAAATATTTGCTGTGAGAAACAAGGTGCATGTGAAGCAAGGGAGATATGTTGCCAATGGAAAGTATCTGAGGGATACTATCAAATACTGCATA